GTGTCCCGTAGCCTGCCTGGTACTGCCCCGACAGCAACAGCTGAGGGGGAAGGAGCCCCCCAGGCCTGGCCGTGAGGCGCCGTGTGCCCTCCCTGGGCACCAGGAGTGGCAGCAGCTGAACGCGCTCTCCCCTTTCACGTGGACAGAACCATTTGGAAAAGTAACTTCTTGTTTGTTTCCGAGAGATGTTTTATTGGTCGCAGACACCCAGGAACCCCACACGTGTATTTCTCATTACCAGGAGGACACTCTTGGGTACTGGCAAAGACGGGGAGGGACATTTTCCAAGGGCATGTAGTGATAGAACAAGAGGGGATAGCTTTAAACTGGAGGAGGGAAGATTTAGGTTAGACATTAGGAAGAAATTCATCACTATGAGGGTGGTGAGATACTGGAACAGGTTGCCCAGATAAGGGCAAGGGAAGCCCCCTCCCTGGAAGTGTTCAAAGCCAGGCTGGAGGGGATCTGAAACTAGATGACATTTAAGGCCCCTTAGCATGACTCTGCAGTCATGGGTGCACACCTGGACATCTTGCAGATAAGAACTTGTGGAGCTCTTGTTGTTGTGAAAAGTATCTCTATTGTAAAGTACTCCCTACTTCCATTGGAAAAGGAGTTTTATCTTAAAGCTCAAATGATTCAGGCTTTCACAAGAAGAAATACCAGCTGCAGTTGCATTGATCAGACCTTGCATGTATTTTGCTGCCACGATGAAAAAACAGCTAAAAACCTTTTCCTGTTGTTATTTTTTCAAATGCATATGGAACAGCTTTCAGAAACGTGCCCTGAAATCAGGTTCCTATGGCTTCCAGTGTGCTCACCAGCACACTGTTTAGCCAATGAATACAGAAATTGCTTGAGGCTGCCAGAGTCATCTGAGAGATCCCCCCCTCACGCCTTCCCTGCTTTGGCCTGTGCTCCTAACAACTATTGCCCTGCAAAGACACTTGAGTTAATGACAGCAAGAATGGATAGGCCCAAGGACCTGAACTGATTTAATTTTGCTTGTTTTACCTTGACAATTCTGCTCTAATGGTGGAGCTGTGACATTCAGGTCACTCTCTTGGGATCAGTTTTATTTCACACCAATGGGAATTGTGCCTGGGGAGGAGCTGCAGCTCTGGCTCTGTATCTCATAAAAGCTGTTTGCTTACATTATACTTTTCATGTATCAAAGACATGGCTCTTAAGGACAGTGTTTGAGCAAGCAATCATTGTATCAAAACCTCACAAAAACCCCAGAACATACACTGCACATTTAAATGTTAATTTAAGTTCAAATCGTTCGGGAACATCTTGATTCTACACTGCTGTTTAAAATCTGGGTGTATCAGGATTATAATTTTGATCATTTAGTGCCAGTCAGCAGTCCCAGCAGTTAAGGTAAATGAAATAAGTATAAGGTAAATTAAATAAATCGACTGCTCCTGGAATCAACAGACGTAGTAAAATATTTTGTATTTTAACTCAGATTTTTCTACATATAATCAACACATACCCTTAGGCTTCTCGTTTTTTCTCAGGTTTCATCTGCTGCTCTTGTTAAATCTACTTTGAGCATTTGAGTTGTAGATGATCTTCCTCGGAGACCTTCTAAGAAAATCTGTGGTCTGGGTACATTGCTTGAGCTCTCACGCTTGCTCTGGGTGCCCACCTCTTTTGGCAAGTAGACCTGGCTGATATTCTCTCTTCTCATGTGGCTGCGATCAGTCTGCATGGAGTGGGTTAATTTGCGCCTCAGATTGGCCTGAAGACACAAAAAAGGAACAGATTCAGCAAAATTTTGTTTGTCCACTTTAGCACTACTGTATACATGGGTGCTTCAGGACATTTTAGATCTCTGGACTTCACAGATCTGGAAGGTGTCCTGTGTCACCCTGCTGTCACTACGCAGTTGATGCTTTGAGGGAGTAACCCCTGAAGTAACAGGACGTGTGAACAGCACTGCATGGAGCCCACACAAGTTCAACTCAGCCCCTGTCTGCTTTTGTATTTTCCTTTGGTCACTGTGCTTCGAATTTTACTGATGCTGAAGCCTCTGTTTTTTTAGAACAATATGCTGTTTTCATGGGAAGCTCTTCCAGTGTTTAAAACTAATTTCACTGAATCTGAAAGCACACTGGTTGTGATGGCTGGTGGATAAATCTCTTTGGGCAACTGCAACCTAAACCGAGTTTGAGGATCCTAAATACTGTGGATAACCCAACTGTATTCTATTTCCAGTTGATACTGGTTAACTGCAGTATGCCCTTTACTCACAAGTTAATTTTTAATTGTGCTAGCAAACCCTAGGAAAATGCTTTTAAAACATATACTGTTACTTTAAAAGCTTTTATCTCTGTAGACAACCTTCTGTGGACAGACTGTGATTTCCAATCCATCAGAAAATCACCATGATTGATAGTGTAACAAAGATTTCCTCAGGCTTATATATATAAAGAAAACCTACTTGCTCAGTTTCTTACCTCTTCAGTCCTATATGAAAGAAGGATTACAACAAATATTTAAAACAAAACAAAAACAGAATTAGTCTTATCAAACATGAACCATCAGAATAAAATTAACAAAAACAAATTAACAAAACAAAACAGGCCTCATGCTTTGATACCTTCCAAGGATGGATAAGTTATCTCAAAGAAAGCTGGGAAATATGAAATCCTCAGCTTGCAATAAAGTTTTGTACCCAAACTTTTCTGCAATCCTTTTTCTTTTTTCTTTTTTTTTTCACAAAATTCTATGTCGCAGTATCTTTAACCTGTTAGATTTGAGTGTAGAGAAACAACTTGAAAATTCAATGCTAATCAACAAACTGTTACTTGAAGAAGGCAATTGAAAACCTTGGAACGAATAGACTTAGCAGTGAAAGTACTGCTCAAAAAGTGGCAGAAAATATGGAAACAATGGGAGAATAGGAAAGTCTAGAAATTAGAAAATACCTGGAAAAAATACTGAGACAGCTGTAATAGAAGCATGCATTTTTGAATAAGATTAGATTTATGTTGCAAGGAACAGAAGTTCATAGTATTTATTCTGAACTTTGCTATCCAACTGTGAAAATCTGGTAACAATACAAACCAATTTTATAGCTTTTCTTCTCAGTTCCCATTCATTCCATTCATAAGATGCCACAATTGTTGGAGGCAAGATATGAGTATCAGTTTGAGTACTGCAGTCACATTTTGTGGTTGGTTTCATAAAAAATTTGTCTGCACTTCTGATCTGGATGAAAAAAACCCAACAAAGCCAAACAGGACATTATTGAGAAGAATACAGACATCTAAGAAAAATAACATATGACTATAGTAGTTTTAAAAAGCATACAGAAACCTACAAACCACAGATGGATAATAATTTTTATATCCAACAATATTTTTGTTCCCCCTGTCCTCACTGAAAAGAAGAAACCATTAAGTATTTGATGGGTTTAACTTCTGACAGAAGTCTTTTTAGGCAGAGGCCACAGCTGAATTCCAGGCTCCCGCATCCCGCAGGAGTGCTTTACCATTGAATTTTGGTAAAAAAGGAATTCCAGCACCAACAGCAGTGTTTTAAGATGCAGGCACCTCAGTTTATCTTTATGAATAGACTAAAAATCACAAATCATAACTGGGAGAAGTGGCTGCCTCTCTGCCAGAGCCAAAACAGAAATAACATCTTTCTCACCAAGGACCAGTTCATGACTACCTTCTTCCCATTGCCAGGGACATAGAATTCACAATGGATCACAGAGAATGTCTATGAATCCAAAACAAGTCTTTGGATTTCACATGGCAGCATTGTCATATTCATTATTAATTCATTCCCTTTCATTTTGTGATAGATTTCAGGATTCCTGCCCTCAGATATCACTACACCCTCATCCAGCAGGCACAGGATCTTCCTAGGCTAAGGACAAACAGCTTTATCACTGTCACAATCCTTTGGCTCTATGTATTCTCCTATGAAGAGATGGGTTGAGAACAGTAAGAGAAAATGTTTCTTATCAATGCCCTGAAGACCTGGGAAAGATCAACCTTCAGACATTCTGTATGATATGCAGATTATTATACTTCTTTTGTAAAGATGGGTATCATATCATCTGTTCTCTTTATGATCTAGAAAGGACAGACCAAGGAATGACCCAGCAGCTGTTGAACAAGAGGCATGGGCAATGTGTACCTGTGCATATGGAGCAAAGTATTCAAATTGATGCTGGAGCTCAAGCAGCTGAATTAGCTCTGTGTATTTTTTTGCTTTTTCTACATTCAGTTGGATGTACTTATCTGGATCTTGAGCAAATACGTAGGCAGCTTCTTTGGAACTGAAAATGTAACACCTCTCCTTGTGCTTCAAAATTCCAATTGCAGGATTTCCTAAAAATAACCCAGAAGAAACCCCACAATATACAATAGTGAGCAGTATGACACCCAATACAGAAGACCACAGAATCACAGAATCATCATGGTTGGAAAGGACCTCTGAGATCACAGAGTCCAACCATCAACATGAATAAACCCCCAACAAACACAACCACACACACTCCACCAGAAAACACCCACAAAAAAACAAACCAAACAAACAAAAAGACTCCAAACATAAAAAACCCACAAACTCCACAACCTCAGCCACTAGAGCGTGCCCTGAAGTGCCACATCTACGTGTTTCTTGAATACCTCCAAGGATGGTGACTCCACCACCTCCTTGTGCAGGCTGTTCCAGTGCCTGACCACTGTTGCAGTAAAGAAATCTTTCTGATCTCCAGTCTGCAACCTCCCCTGCCTCACCTTCAGGCCATTTCCTCTAGTCCTGTCATTATTCACTTGGGAGAAGAGGCCAACACCTGCCTCACTACAACCTCCTTTCAGGTAATTGTAGAGGGAAATGAGGTCTCCCTTCAGCCTCCTCTTCTCCCAGTTCCCTCAGCCACTCCTTATATGACTTGTTCTTCAGACCCTTCACCAGCTTGGTGGATCTTCTCTGGACATGCTCCAGCACCTCAATGTTCTTCTTGTAGTGAGGGGCCCAGAACTGAACACAGTGCTTGAGGTGCAGCCTCAGCAGTGCTGAGTGCAGGGGCACAACTTCCCTGCTCCTGCTGATCACACTATTCCTGATACAAGCCAGGATGCTGTTGGCCTTCTTGGCCACCTGGGCACACCACTGGCTCATGTTCATCTGCCTGTCAACCAGCACCCCCAGGTCCTTTTCTGCTGGGCAGCTTTCCAGCCACTCCTCCTCAAGCCTGTAGTGTTGCCTGGGCTGCTTGTCACTGAAATGCAGGACCCAACACTTGTCCTTACTGAACCTCATACAACAGGCCTTGGCCCATCGATGCGGCCTGTCCAGGTCCTGCTGCAGAGCCTTTCTCAAATCTCAAGGAGATCAACACTTCCTCCCAACTTGGTGTCATTTGCAAACTTACTGAAGGTGCACTCAGTCCCCTCATCCAGATCATTGATATTGAACAAGACTGGACCCAAAACTGAGCCCTGAGGGACCCCACTGGTGACCGGCAGCCAAACTAGATCTGACCCCATTTATGACAATTCTCTGGGCATGGCCCAGAGAGTTTGATGTTTGATGTTTGTAATCAAGATTCTGTGTTTCCCTCATCAGTTTCACTTCATATTTTTTTTTTCTGAATTCAGAATAAATCCCTGAAAGTAAGCTTTTTAAATACAGAAATTCATTAGGCAGTGCAAGTGCTTTTGATCAGTTCACACTCCCTGTGCCTTAGTGCCTGTCGTGTCAGAAAAGCAACAGATGAAACACACAGCAAAGACTTAAGAAAACAGACCACACCCACAACTGTTTCCCCTGTAATTTCCAGCAAATACTTAATTGCAGATCAACAGTTCATTTATACTCGAGGGCATAATGCAGAAATTAAGTGAAGTAGCAGATGAAGCAGCTGGGAAGCTGGACAGTAAATTAACAGAGAAAAGAAATGTCAATAAAGACCAAGTAACTTCTATAGGCAAACACAAATGGAGCTCAAGGACAGTAGCAGGCTCTGCTTCAGCTGTCGCTGCCCAGGAAAGACCTAGAATCATCACAGACAGTGCCTTGAAAATATTTAATGTCACTGCTCAGTGACAATCAAAAAACCAAAAAGCAAAAACCCCCTACATTTTGTTCCAACACAACAGAATAGGAAAAATAAAATGAAGGGAGTTGGGAATGATCCTTTCACAAAAGGAAGGATAAAACAAGAGGCCTTTCAGCATGAAGAAGAAGCAACTGAAGAGAAATAACATGATACAGGGTTATAAAACCATGAATTGGGTGCAATATAAAGTTACTATTTGATAATTTTCCTAATAGAAAGACTATCAGATCTTTGATGAAATTATTAAGCCAGAGCTTAAAGCCATCTCAAAAAAAGGTACCTGTTCACAGTGTATATAATTGAGGGACTCTTGACAATAAGAATATTATCCCATGGCAAACTCTAAATGGATTCATAAAGCAATTAGATAAATTAAAAACTTCTATGAAGGATTATTTAACAGAAGGGTACAGACACAATACTTATCTGAGGAAATCCCATAACCACTGTCTGCTGGAACAAGGAAGGATATAATTAAGGAAGGATCATTCCTACTTGCTTTCTCATCATCTTCAAGTGTTCATGACTGACCACATCCAGAAACTGGATACAGGGCTAGAGACACTTTCAGTCCCACCCAGGACAGCTGTTCTCATATGCAACTAAGTGTACATAATTATATTGCTGTTAAAATATCTATTTTGTAATACTGCCAAATAATGGCAATATTTTCCTGCCAACGTCCTGTAGGTTTAAAAAATTCTATATGGATAGGTTCTATAAAGGATAGGGAGACAGAAAGCATGAACTGGTGAGGTAGCTGAAATAGGGCTTGCTTTCAAGACAAATGACCCTAGAAGAGACAAAAATATTTCCTATGGTTAGTTGACTTAATCAAGGGTCCTTCTGCATTCTTTTCAGAGGAGATTTTTTATACTTTATAACCACTGCTTAAAAATATATATGATGTAGGCATGAATGGATGTGTCTGCAGCAGATACACAACATATAAGGATTGACCATTTTCCTATGCCTGTGTTAAAGCACATTAACAACAATAAACAAACCTGCATTCAGTGCAATGTAGGTTATACAGATGCACATACAGCAGGAGGAAACATTTATCCATCCCATCTTGTTTCTGCCTCTGCTCACTTATGTCATGCTCATAAGTCTTTTACCTTCTGTTTAGGACAGTTTAATTGGGTATTTGTAGAAGAAAAATACTTTAACAGGGGAAAGAAGTTATCTGGAGTCAAAATGACAGACACGAAAACATAGTACTCCAGCTTTGACACAAGAGAATGCCATGAAAACTTTACATTTTCACTACTACTTGTGTAGTGATAAAGCAGGGGGAGGACCTAACTACAAAGCATACCTGGGAGGGTGAGGCCTTTCACACCAATTGCATATGCACAGAAACCATGGTACTGGGTCAGCAATTGATCAAAATTGTCAGTAGTCCCTGGAAAAAGCCATTCTTGGTTCTCGAAATCAGAAACATCCACTGTGGTCCCTAAAAAAGGGTTTAACAAAGGATCTCAGCAACAAAGCATCAGATCTTTAAAATATAATGTTACAGGATGACAACAGTACTGTGGTCTTCGCAGATGACCTGCAGTACCAAGATCCCAAAAATCCAAACTTTAGCCCTGCCTTAGGAGAGATCTTATTGAAAAATCAGTCCTGTGGGGACCTTTGCTGGCATTAATTTTCTCTGGAAACAGGGGACAACAACAGGAAGGTAATATCTTATTCTTCTGTTTTGTTGTCACCCACTCACACATTACAAATCCCCTGGAATACAACTTGGTTAGATACCATCTTACAAACAAATACTCCTGGTAACCAAAGAATCACTACATTAGCTTTTTTATTTCCCTCTTCATTTCAGAAGCTCTGAAAGGTGTAAGAAGACATAAACAAACTTAAGAAATTTTTAAAAAGTAGGAATATTCTCTGATCATTCTGCCATTTTTATACAATATACTTGTATATAGTAGCTATATTTTAATTTTATATATAAAAATAAAACCCCAAACTACACTACATGAAAAACAAATCCACACACTTCAAGACTCATTTTAATTTACTGTGCCAATTCTGATTATTAAAAAATCAATGTGTAGCACCTTCCATAAATAAAGTTCTAACCACAAAATCCTGGAAAATGAAGTAAAACAAAAAAGTATTAAATTTCAGTACCCATGGTTTCTTCTATCCTTTCCTTATCAGTTTTCACAGTCACTCCTTCCAGAAGAGATGTTAGGACTTCCTCAGGAAAAAACTGTGAATGAATTTCCAAGAACTGTTGCAGATTGTTAGTCATATTTGTGAGGAAGCTTAGCAGTAGCATCTCATCCTGAAAGCCAGTCCAGAGGTTAGAGAGTGCGACAAAGAGAGGCTGGAAAATAAAGAAAATAATCTGAAATCCAGAATTTGTTTATGTCTGCAACGTAACCCAAGTGCTGTGCACAACAATCCCCACTATGAACAAAGTGGGGCTTGTATCCAAGGCCTTCAACACCTGGAAATTCCTTGGGAATTCCTGGGATTTGTAAGAGGAGCTCCCCTCACATATGCCCAAAGCATATTAGTTTAGTTGCCCCTTCAAAAATCACAGATGCTATTATAATAGCAAGAGAATAATGTAGCCTTTTTCTTAACACAAACTATGCAAAAATACACCAGAAAAGTATTTTGTAATACTTCCATCATTTTTAATAATTAAGAATAAATAGGTTTTTCCATCCAAAATACTTACAAAAACTTCTTTGGTATCTACGGCAACCCTATCCCGCACTGTGTTTTTCAGCTGCTCCATTGTTGCTGCAAACTCCACATTCATCTTTTCAACTTCTTGAGCACTTGTAATTGCATCAGACTGGAAAGAGAACTTACTTCAGGTAAAAAGTATGACAGTAAAAAAAAATCAAGTAAAAAAATCAAGTATTTACTAAGAAGTATTTACTTGGATCTCTTCATTCAAATATTTTCAGACAGCTGTTTCAAGGAATAAAATGCACCCTAACTTTCCACAAAAATGTCTTATTTCAGGTTGTTCAGGTATAAAACCAGGCACTTGTCTCAAACATATATCAGCAATTCGTACAGAAAACCTCTACGTTTTTACAATTAAGGAGGAAATATTTTTCCAAACTTTATGATCTACAGAGAAGACTAGTAAACCCCTGCAGTTTCCCAAAAGACAAATGACAATGTCTTCATAAACGAAACGAGTTTCAAGAATTTAAATTGTATTCTTCAAAGACTTCTGATTACTCCATATGTGTTGAGGATGCTACAGACTAAAATTGAGATAATTCATGGATTGAACAAGTAGATTTTTTCTCTCACGCCTTTTAGGGCAGTATCAGTATGCAAACAAGTGAACAGTCCTACTTCTAAAGTCCTTTTTAATGAAATTAAACCAAAGGAGGAGACCTCCAGAAAATAAATGGTACTACTATCACACTACAGCAAACAATTAATCCATTTTGTCTTTTACCTGACAGTAGCCAAATCCAGCAACACAGACACGAAGTTCAGTATGACAGAAGAAGAAGCAGGTTCTCATATATAGACATAAATTTTATTTCATATATTTCTAAATAATTTTTCTTATATTTCTGGCCTGTACAAGTAGGTAACTTGAATATATTCCATTTGTAATAAAAACCCACAGGATAAACATGATGCTATCTCACCAGAAGGATACAAAGGAAGGCTTCATATTGTCGCACACTGAACAGTGCTTCTCTTAATTTCAAAGAACCAAGCTCCATACATCTGTGTTCATCTTCCTGCATGCATTCCAAGAGAGCTGTATACTTGTGGGCCAGCATATGGCAAGTATTGAGATCTTCATCCACAGCCTGTGTAGCTAATGGAATGGCTTCATTCAGAATGGCTGGCACTATTGGAATAGAATATATATGAGATGGATGTAAAAAGAACTATTTAAATAATAAATAAATGGTTGAAGTGCACTATTTGAGCAAAGTAAGCATTCCGATAAAATTCCGATTGCTAAAGGTTGTCCTTATATTCATGCATTTCTGAATATTTGCATACTAGGTTCAATCACTGTATCTTCCTGGTTCAGAATTACAGGTGTGGCAATATCACAGTCAAGTCAAGACTGTGAGAAAACTCGCTTTACAGTAGATTATTTCACTTGTTTCTACTGACATGGGTTTCCTGAGAGACTTCAGGCAATCTGCACCATTTTAAATTCTCAGTTTCCTCACTGGTAAAATACTAAGTAACAGGCCTCCCATTTCCTGGTTACTTTGAGACCTAATGATGCTCTAAAAATGAGACAAAGATTATTAAAAAAAAAAAGATAGATACTACACGAAGAAATCACAGAATCTTAGGAGTTGGGAGGGACCTCAAAAGATCATCTAGTCCAACCCCCCTGCCAGAGCAGGATCACCCAGAGCACATCACACAGGAACGTGTCCAGGCGGGTTTTGAATGTCTCCAGCAAAGGAGACTCCACAACATCTCTGGGCAGCCTGTCCCAGTGCTCTGTCACTCTCACAGTAAAGAAGTTTTTTCTGATGTTTACGTGGAACCTCCTATGTTCCAGTTTGCACCCATTGCCCCTTGTCCTATCACTGGACATCACTGAACAAAGCCTGGCTCTCTCCTCCCGACACTCAGGACTTAAGTGCACAACACAGCCCCTCGTTGCATGAGTCGAACTTTTAACACTAGCAACGTCAGTAAGCAACAGTGAGGTGATCAGACTGGAGCTATGTGTACTCCAAAACCTCTGAGCTCAGAAAGGCTAGATTTGACAAAGCTGGAATGGGAAGTAAATTTGCACAGGTATTACACATGGTCTAACCACAGGTGGAGAAAGTTTAGCACTTGGCTGATTTACTTTTTTGGAAGCAGAGTGAAAAGCTAAGGCAGAGCTCTCTCCCAGCAAGAATGTTAAATTAAGTTAATTAGTTAAATTAAGGCTTTAGCAGTCTAATTACTGGTCTTGAGCATGAAAACAACAGTTTTATCTCCTGACCTAAGAGCATTCATGCTGTGTTTTTTCCAACTGTTAAAAAATTATAGGTAAACAGTGCAAAGAAGCCAATATTGCAGTAAAGTAACAAATGTAACGGGATTAACAATCATATGATCTATTTTAATCAATTACAAATCCCACAGATATTACAGCAACAAAAACCACATGTTGTAAATCATGGTTTTTGTATAACTGTAGCAGTTGAATGCTCATTGACATTGTAACCCAGGCCCAGTGAACCTAGAATAGAGCCAGCCACAACACAGAAAGGTGACACTTGTGGGAAAGCATACATTATAAAAACAGAAAACCAACAATTTCTTGCACAGCATGTGAGAAAAAAAACCCACAAAAATCTAGAAAGTTGCTTACTTCTTTCTCTGATGTGGTAGGTGTATTTTTTCCTACTTACACTTGCTTTACTTAAAATACTAACAAAGCAATGCTTTGTTTTCAAAAAAAGCCTAATTTTCTTATCAAGAGAGGTATGTGCTGTAGCCTTTACTCCAAACACTTTGTTTTTTTAAAACAAAAGGGTTTCCCCTAAAATTGGGCTCTAGACCTTTCTTACAAAGAAGTCTCCATGCTGAGCTACATCCATATTCACACAACCAGTCATTTATTTGATTATTAATTGAAAACTTACCAGAAATAATACGGCTTTGGGGGAAAAGAGAAAATAAGATGAATAGTAAAGTCTTGCCCTACTCTGAATACAGCTTTTGGAAAATTCCATTGACATTTTTTATTTATTAAAGAAGCAGAAAGATTCAAAATACAAAAGATTTTTGAGAACATGTTACAGCTCTGAAGAGGTTACTTTAAATAAATTACCAGAAAACAGAGGGACAGGGAGTTACTAGAGAGTGTGCAACAGAGGCTATGAGGATGATTAAGGGATGGGCACACCTGTCTTCTGAGGACAGGCTAAGAGGCTGTTTAGTCTAGAGAAGAGAAGACTGAGAGGGGATCTTAATAATGTACATAAATACCTGAAGGGTGGGTGTGAAGAAGGAGAGGCCTGACTCTTTTCACTCATGCCTTGTGATAGGATGAGGGGCAATGGATGCAAACTAGAACACAGGAAGTTCCACCTCAACACGTGGAGAAACTTCTTTACTGTGAGGGTCACAGAGCACTGGGACAGGCTGCCCAGAGAGGCTGTGGAGTCTCCTTCTCTGGAGACTTTCAAGACTTACCTGGATGCATTTCTGTGTGACCTGCTCTACATTCTGTGGTGATCCTGCTCTGGCAGGGGGGTTGGACTCGATGATGTCCAGAGGCCCCTTCAATCCCTAACATTCTTTGATTTTAAGATTCTGTGATACAGGTAATGCCCCAGCAACTTTTATCACTTCTCATTACACATACTCAACAGAACATTGTAATTAGATTGATAGTGTCCTTTCAAGATTTTATTTAACTGCTTTTAAAGGCAAACATTACATGTTTAATTCACTTAATGGCAAGAGATCAGGGAACAAGTTATCATGAGATAAATTAGTGCATGAAGTTAATACATATAATCCTTCCACATCAATCACACAGAGCTTGTTCTGAGCTAAAAATAAGCAGGCTACATGGAAATGCATAGTTGATAACAAATCTGTACTTTCCCTTCAGGTTTACTGACACTGAGTCAAAGCTGTTTACCTAGAGATGAGATATTATTGGAGCTGCCTCAGTGAAGAGGCCAGAAAGAATTAATTTGGAATACACAGTTCAAGTGCAGTTGTCTACTTACAGTCATCAATTTTGCGTCCTCCTTTCCTGCATTCCTTGTTGTACAACCGAATTCCTGTGACTAGCATGGTAAAATTTTTCAGCTGTTCCTCTTTGTTCTTCTTACTGAGTGAGATGAAAGCAATCATCTCTGTCAGGGGGAATATACTCTGCAGGGCAGCTATAAGCATTGAGGGAACAGAAAAGAAAATCATCAAACAAGCAAAAATACCCTCTCTTGAGCAACTGCAAAAAGCAGGAAATCCACAACAAATTTAGACTTCAAGGGTGAACAAGGAGAGTTTGGGTAGCAAACGTTCATCACAGTTTACCACATCTGTATTAGCAAAGGGGAGGTGAAAATTTATTTTTAATTTATTTTATTTCACAGCTGGGAGTTAGTTTACTGACCTGTAACCTCCCTGACAACCTCAATATCTGTTGGTGATCCCAGGCCAGAGCTCAGCAGCACATAGCTAATGATCTTCTGATACATATTCTCCATTTCTTTTTGCAATCGGGGACGACTACCTGTGATGTCTCTGACCAGTGGAGCCAGCCTTCCCTCCAGAACACGGCGCTGCTCGCTGAGTAATTCAGCTAGGAAAGAAGGACAGTTAGAAAGTACTATCTAAAACACTTGGAATGTGGGTTATACAGAGGGTGCCATTCATTTCCCCACTCAGAGGACTAACTTCCAAGTTTCTGAAGTACAGATACGTGAAAGAGATATTCAATGTACTATACCATTCTAATTAACAACAGTGGAGTAAAACATTAATACAATTAGTATGATTAACATCAGTTAGTAGAGTCCAGAGAACTATTCAGGCCAGGCTGGATGGGACTCTGAGCAGCCTGATCTAGTGGGAAGTGCCCCTGCCCATGCAGGGAGTTGGAACTCAATCTTTAAGGTCCCTTCCAACTCTAACCATTCTATGATTCTATGAAATGAAGCAGCAAGTCTCTGGTTCTCTGGACTCCTCTGTCTGTAGTAGGACCAAACACACAGACACACATTTTATACACACGTGAAGTTACATTCCAACATCTGAACACAACCCAGGATCTCTGGGTTTTTAACATATTTATCTATGATCTTGATAAGGAGATAGGATGCACCCTCAGTTAAGTTTGCAGACAACACCAAGTTGGGAGGGAGTGTTGGTCTGCCTGAGAGTAGGGAGGCTCTACAGAGAGACTTGGACAGACTAGATCAATGGGCTGAGGTCAACTGTATGAAGTTCAACAAGGCCAAGTGTGAGGTCCTGCACTTGGGCCACAACAACCCCATGCAGTGCTACAGGCTGGGGAAGAGTGGCTGGAGAGCTGCCCAGCAGAGAGAGATTTGGGTGTTCTGATTGATAGGCAGCTGAATAGGAGCCAAGAATGTGCCCAGGTGGCCGAGAAGGCCAATGGCATCCTGGCCTGATTAGAAATAGTGTGGCTAGCAGGACCAGGGAGGTGACTGTCCCTCTGTACTCAGCACTGGTGAGGCCACACCTCAAATACTGTGTCTAGATGTGGTGCTTGGGAATATTGTGTAGTGCTGGATTTGGTAGAGTAGGGTTAATGGTTGGACTGGATGATCACAAAGGTCTTTTCCAACCTAAGTGATTCTATGACTCTATGATTCTATGACCTCAGGGTCTTACTGGACTTACTGAGCTTACTGAGTCCAGAAGACTCTGAAGCAGCTCCCTAGTGTTATTTTTTGTTTTAATCCATGCTAACAAGAAAATATTTTAATGATCTACCCAGACAGAAATGTGTATTTTTCTGTCATCTCTTGTTCTGTCTGGTGTCCCAGCCAGCCCTCACTGTCCCATTGAGATCTGAAGTTACAGTTACAGCACAGACATTCTCCCCATATAATTTTTATTCCACACTCCCATTTGCAGATCATATGAAGTTACCACTGATGAAACCAAAGAATGCACAGTTATAACTGCAACTGATTTTTCAAGATATCTTGAATATCTTACTATATCCATGCCAAAGCACCATACTCCTATATAGTGGATTTCTCCAGGAATTTTTATTTTGCTTTACTGTCAGCAGTCAGTAACAGGAAAAATTATTAGCCCTACAGAGACGGATATTAAATCCTAAATTCAGAATCAACTTATTCTATGAAAACATTTATTTATATTGAAATTACCTCGGTTTGCATAGTTCATGTCAAAGTAAACTTGCATCTTAATTGTGCACAGGGAAGGGTTTGTTGTGTCAAGCAGCCTGGTAACACAGATCTAAGAAGAGTGACAGAAAAGTGAGTTCTTTCTACACGCAGGGTAACGTCTGAACTGAGAGGGACTATGCTACAGGTTTTACAACCACAGCAGAACCCCCTCCCTAGCATTTTCTTGACATACTATGAACACTGTGAAGTATAAGGCACTTTTTTATATGAGAAAAGGCATAGTCCATCCTTTAGCTACAGAACCATGATCATGAAGTACCATTACAGCTTAAAACAGATAGCAAACAATGCTAGAGTCTTAGCAAAGTACTGACTCTCAAGATCATAGCAGAGTTACCTGGATAAGATTTTGCACATCGGTTTTTGTAAGGACTTGATCCAAATTAAAGTCATTTACTGGATCTAAAACAACAGCTTTCACCTAAAGATTGCCAAAAGAAAGGTGTTAATTTCTATCTCAATATATTATTTGCAACTAAACTTTCATTTCCTAAGTAAAATTTTATAGACATCCATTATGGCCCATACAATGACTTCTCGGGTGGTGGTGCATCCATCAGTATCAATGTTCACAATCTGGGTAAAAAAAATCGTAGTATTCTGCATACAGAGAAATATGTGCATGCTAGGTATCTTGCTGGTCACATGCAAAGGTTTTTTTACCCATTAAAATCTTCATGCTTAATTGATTAATACTGCTTTTGTATTTTTTACTGCATGTATTTTTTAAGGCCACAGAGTCACCTTTATGAAAAAAAATGGCAGATTAACAGTACTGCTACTTATACATTCATATGGAATTTTATCAAGAGCTGATTCTGTTCTTATACCACTGATACAGAGAAAATCCAGCTCCATCTTTCTGCAGGTGCATTCAGACTATATTTTGCAGTGGTGCTGTGTCTCCTAAGAGGAGATACCAAAGTGTATAATGTTTCCTAGGATACTTACCTTGCCTACTACAGAAAACCCTGAGAATGATTCAATGTTGTTTGTAGTTTAAGTGGGATCCAAGCCCACTCCTTCAACTACTTACACCCTACTACACTACCTGGCCCTGCCAAACAGGGAAACCAAAATAATACATTACAACAGAGGGAAGAGATAAATACTTTCTCAGGTTTTTAGGACCCTATACTGAATATAACTGCCCCATTAAAACTTCCCAGTGTGGGCAGTCAGAAACCGAGATGTTTCCCAGCTCAGGTCACCCCTGAAAGCCTCAGCTGCTGCCACCCCAGTCAGGGCAGCCTCTGCTGGAGATGCTGTTTCAAATCTGCTGACTTTTAAGACCAAAGGCATTATTTCTGTCCTTGCTTAAAATCATTCAGCCCAAGCAGTGTCGGAGGAACCACTCACTGTTTCTAAAATTAACCCTCAGCTTCACAAAAGCCTTAAAACACCGTTTGAGCTGTGGGTGCTCAGGTTTGAAACTTCTGATCTATCTGCTCTCTACACACACTTATCCTGGTGCTTTACAGACGGACTTTGAACGTGGTCGGGAAAAAAACACACAGACGCAGCAACAGCAACAACAACCCCCACCCTGAACGTTTCACCCGCGCTCACCATGAACGCTACCAGGGTTTCAGACACGGCGTGTCCCCGGGCGGCACATTCCTGCCCAACCTCGCGGATTATTTTCTTGATGACCCCTTCGTTCTGCTCGCACGCCATGCCGGACAGACAGACAGACACACACCTGGAGCCGATGGAAACAGTTACGATTTGGGGCGCGCCTTTCCCGCTCCTCCCCGAGCGGCGGGGGTGCCCTCCCCTCCCCTCCCCCGGTGCGGGCCTCGGGGGCCGCCTGCAGCCCCGGAGACGGGGCCCAGGCCTCGCCTGCCCCTCAGAGATGCAGGCCGAGAAATGCATCTTTACACTGAATCTATACCTGTAGAGGTGCGTTCTCATGGGTAGTGCCGTTAATCATTCGGCATACTGTTTTGATTTTTTTTTTTTTTTCCCTTGTTGCTCCTCGAAGTCAGCGATTTCCCCCGTTATCAACATCCCAGCGCCTTTCCTTTCCTGTACAGGCTTTGTGCGTAGCCACGGCGGAAAGGTTTAAACCTCTCCGGTTAGAGTGTGTCCCCACGCTTCCAATATGCTTCACATAAGCCATGCTGGGGTTCTTGGACCACAAATGAGGAGGAGCAACACGGCCATGGCCTGGAGCAGCAACAGGAGCACTTGGGTGCTGCAACTTGCCAGCTGGGGCCAGAAGGAGGTAGGATGTCTTGCTGGGGCCAGAAGTAGGATGTCTTGCTGGGGCCAGAAGTAGGTAGGATGTCTTGCTGGGGCCAGAAGTAAGTAGGATGTCTTGCTGGGGCCAGAAGTAAGTAGGATGTCTTGCTGGGGCCTGGCAGCTGCCAGCACCTGGCAGGGTGCTGTCCAGGAGAAGAGAGGAAATGGTCTCGTCAGGGGAAATGCGAACACGGTATCGTTTAAAAAGAAGGAAAAATCCATCATGAACTGATTCTGTATTTCATATCGTCAGTGTTGATGGATTTCTGGGCTAATGGGCCATGAAATTCAGTTAAAGCCATAGGTGTGGCTGCAACTAGAGGTAGTTTGGCCATATCTGACTGACCCACCTTTAAGGTGTTCTGAAGACTTTTAGTCAGGTTACTTGGATTCACATCGCAGGACACAGGCTTTAAAAAAGCCCTTTGTACTGGACTGCCCATTGGCCTGTATCAGTTATTTATCTGATGCCTCGCAGAAAATGGTGTTTTAGCCCATCCAGGTTCACGTGTTTGAAGGTAGCATATCAGTAAGTCATTAGCTCTTTCCACTACTCCATTTGCTTGGTATGTGGAAAATCCATGTAATACCTCCCTTTCTAGCTTAGTCATGCACTGTGATGCTGGTAAAGTGTGATCCATTGTAACTTTGTATGTAGTCTAGGGTAGGGAGAGTAGTAAACCATAGCCGAAGACCTGCAATAGTAGATTTAGCATCAGCATGTCTGCTTTTAAAGACAACTCATAATCCAGATACCACTTCTATACCTGTCACCGTGTGCTTATAACCACTAGATTTTTCTCAGAGGTCCTACATAATCTACCTGCCAGGTAGATCACAAACCTTTGTCACCCTTGGTATGTAAGGGTGGTGTCTGGTCTGGGTGATTTTGCAAAAGTGTTCGTTGGCAGTGAGGGCATTGTTTAAAAATTTCTTTACAGATTTTTCTGGTTAGTGGCCAGCCTCTGCTTGGACCTGCAAAAATAAAGCTGCTTGTCCTGTATGTCCTGATTTACAGTGTAGCCACTCACCTAATCAATACCAATGTTGTAGAGCCTCTAAATGATCAATTTTTACCTTTCTAATTTTAATTATCTGATCTACTTTAGTGTTCCAGTATGTCTGCAAGGCGTGATTGCCACTCTGTGATTTGACCCATCCTATTTGTATTGGTCGAGGCTGTGCCTCTGTTAGCAGCCATTCCCGGTCTTCTTTCTGCCAGATTTCCTTCCCATTTACCTGCCAATCTAATGCTTCCCATTGGCATAGCCATGGTGTGGCACCTGCCCAGGCAACATAGGAATCAACATTTATTACTTTTGCCTTTTGCTTTACTGCAAGTAAGAAAGCCTGTGCAATCTGACTGTGCAACCCCTTCTACTATTTCAGCAGCTGGTTCTCTATATTGAGAGCTGCTGCTCTGTACCTCCATTTGCTAATAATGCCTTTAGCTGAGGCATCAGTGAACATCCTTGACTTCTGATCCTTGTGTCAATGCTGGAGTGCCCAATATAGGACTAAGCTTACAGGGATGTTGCAAAGCCAGTGCCTCAGGGGTCACTGATATCTGTAATTTAGTATCTCTGTGGGTTCTTCTATTGCATTCATCTGATCCACCATTCCTGAAATATATGTGTACCATTTGTGCACAGTTGGGTTTTGTGCAGTTCCAGCTGGCAGAGCACTGCCTTTCTTGACACTGGCTACCAAACTGTAGGGTTCTTGAGCTTGCACTAATTGATGTTGGTGAATTTTCTCTACCTGTTTGAGAGCTCAGGTTAGGGATAATTAACCCTTTTCCCAGTCAGTGTATCCCATCTCAGTATCTTTGAAGGCTGCAGAACTAAATCCTAATGGTCTTTTGGGTCCACAAGGACCTTTCTGAAACAGATAACAGTAAGTTCCATGTTCACCACAGCCCCATTCAACTGTTATGGGGTCACTAGCATGAACAAGCCCAAGCAATTGGTATGCTTTTAGGTCTTCTGCTAGTGTTTGTAAGGCTTGTTCATGGATATACAGCCAATTCAATGTCTGTTTTTTCCTTAATAGTGAGTATAATGGTCTGGCTATTACAGAAAACCCAGGGACACATTTTCTGTAGTATCCCCATCGTGCTTGTAATTTGCTGCTGTTCCTTTTTTGTATTAGGAGTTGCGATAGCACCTCATTTTGTAATGCTGTCTTCTGGAATTGCAGTCTTGTGAGAAACGTTTGTCGTGCCAATTAACAGGCCCACACAGATCCTTCAACGAAGCACAGTTTATTTACATTCTTGCAAGAATGGGTGTCCTAAACAAGCAGGCACACCCACAGTCAGGTGAATAATGGTTTATATTCCCTATTCCCGACGCAAAGTTCTCTCTCGTTTCCCCACTGTCTGGGTACTCCAGGGTTTACAGCACATCCGACACTTCAAGTTATCCTATAAGTTTCCTGCCCCTGTTTACACATTCCATTCTAGCAGTTTACTTATTACCTTTTAAGGTAAAAATTTTGACCTTTTTTGCCCCCTTGGCTGTCTTCCCAATTAACAAATCTACTGGTGTCATCATGCCCTGAGGAGCAAGATAGAAGTGGCTTTGTTGGGTCTTATCTTGGGCCATAAATCCTGCTCCATGTTTGGATCCCCAGATGGAGCCCAATTCACTCCCTCAGTTTCTTGGGCAGTAAACCACTCCTGGTGACCTTAGAATGTGAAGATATCTCGCTTATCTCAAACAAACTATATATTTAAACCACTCCTGGTGTCAGATACCTCACTTATCTCAAACAAACTATATATTTAAACCACTCCTGGTGCCAGATATCTCACTTATCTCAAACAAACTATGTATTTCTAACAGTAGGATATATATATATATAGATATATATAGATATATAGATATATATATACCAAACCCGACACTATGTTTCTAACACTAGAATGCAAAATCAACACTACATTTCATTTCTAACAGCCTGACCAGCAGTCCCCCAAATTGGTAGGAACGTTCCTTCTCTAGCTGCTTGCAGGGTGGCAGTGAGGGTGGTTGTGCTGGGAACAGGGGCTGCGAGCGGCCCTTGAGTCGCCGATAGTCGAGAGTTGGGCGCCACCTGCTGCCCCCCTTCCGGGCTGGCCAGACGGAGGAATCCGAAGGTGAACGTACTCTATAAATAATGCCCCCTAAAAAAAATAAATCCTCAATGACTTTGTTGAAAAAGAGCTCAGAATCTTAGAGCGACGTGATTGTTTTGTGCAAGATGTGCTCTGTGTGTGTGTACAAGTTAAAATTGCAGTTGCAAAAGCACAGAGCTGGCACTGAGCAAGGACATGCTGGAATAAATGGGCCTGGAAGAAGGCAATTAATGGGACGTTTTAAGGCTGTCTCATCTAAATCACCAACTTGGCAGAGAAAACTTGAGGTCTATATGGATAATTGGACCTGAGGAATGCAGGAGGTGATAAAGGAGAACCAAAATCAAGAAGATTGGCTGCTGAAACCAGTCTTGGGCAGCTGGAGCTATAGAACTTGTGATATTGTGTCCTTTAGGTGAAATTAGCTCATTATAATGCCATTATAATACTAAAAAACAAACCCCCACGTCAAAAAGACACCTGCCCAGGTGAAGACCCTTCCCCTGAGCATGCGTGATTACAGAAATGGTGATGTAACTGTATTATAACTATATGTAAATCAATAACTAATCATTGTAAGGAGGATGGATTTGGAAGTTTACTGCACTTGCTGCAGCTGAGAGGGAGGCAGCAGCAGGAGGAACAATCTCCTCACAGCCCCCAGTCACAGCACTCGCCGTAGAAGCAGTGTCACTGTTTGCTGTTTGGGGAGAAGTAGGAGCTTTCAGAAGATGCCATTCATCCTCCTTATCATCATCCTCCTCCTCCTTGGGAGGATGTCCCAATCCTCTGCTGATGTTATTAATTGTTGGACTTCCTTAACATCTAGGGGATTAGGGATCAGCATCATTAATTCCACTTTCTCCTCCAATCATTTATACTTTAAATTTTTTCAGTTCTGGTTTTAATCACTCAATTTACCAACTTTGGCAACATCTCTGTTTGTTTTGAATCATTAACTGCTTTAGAGATAGTTCTTCACATTGTTCTACCTTACTACTCAAATAATGAACTGACTGTAGTGTTTGTTCTCTCCATTGTCACGCAGCTTTTCAACACATTCCTAACACATCACAGGTGATACCTTTTCCCTTTGTATCTTTTAACTCTGTTTTTATCTATTTTAGCTTGAATGTTCTCCCAGTCCCACCAACTGGCTCCTGTCCAATGCTTGTTATGTTCAAGATGTATGTTATGCCTCTTTAGATACTCTGTTAAGCCTGACACTTGTTTTGCAACGCTGCCTGCCATTGCAATCCTGACCCTGCTGGCTGTGCTAATTGACCCTGAACCAGGCAAGGTAGCAGATGAGATG